ACACACGCGGGCGCGCACGCACACACCCACACACACACACGCATTCACACACGCACACACGCACACGCACACGCACACACACACACACACATACACACACACACACACACACACACAACGCACACACATACACAACGCACACAACACACAGCACACACACACACACACGCACACACACACACACACACTCTCACACACGCGCAAGCAAAAACACAAGAAGGCTATTGTAATGCTGTAGGTGCTGTTTTTCTGTGCGTTCGTGGGGGGCCTTCTTGTGGCGTCTCGGGGGCCGCTCAGAACATTTCTAGGGGCCCGTCGGCGACCGTCTCGAGTCCCCCGCGCGGGCCCTGGAAGTGTGTCCTGGAACGCCTCTCCGCCAAGGGACCCCTCCTGGGGGGGGGGTCCTGCGACCTGCGTTCACGGTGCCCTCTCCGCGTGCTTTCCTTTTTGCTTTTCAGCCCGGCGAGCTCACAAAATGCCCCCCCCCCCCCCCCCCCCGCGGGCTGCCTCTGGCGTCGCTGCCGACGTCGCGCTCGCGTGCGGTTGTGTGTGCGAGTGCTGTGTGCGCCTGCGCCGCGAGGACGGGTGTCCAGGATTCCTGCAGTCCTCAGGAATCCTGGGCTACCGGGCACTTCTCCGTCCTCGGGGGATCCACATCCGCGGCTCCCCTGTGTCCCAGGGCACGACCCCGAAGCGGCGCACGTGGATGTGCTGTGGCGGTGGAGTGCTCGCGGGCCCGACGGGCGAGTTGTGGAAACGCGAGGGCCCAGGGATCCCAACAGGAGCTTGGCAGCGCGCACAGGGGGACGGTGAGAGGGGGGGGGGGGGGGGGGGGGCGTTTTTAGAAGATGTGGGCTACGGTCGATTCCTAGAAACCTCTGATCGTTTCTGAGAAGCACCCTGCCTTCTTATATGGCCACATGGCCACTCCCCCTCGCCCGACCCCCCCACGCACCCTTAAGTGCGAGGGCCCACGGCTTCCCAGGAGGGCCCGCACCAGGCGGTTGGTCCTTCCTGGCGGCCAGGTCCGAATGTGCAGGAGGTCGGGTCGGGTCGAAGCTCGAGTCCCGCGCGGGGCAGGGCGCGAGTCCCGAGCTGGCGCGCCCCCGACGCTACGTCGAGGCCTCCGCCCTGACAGGATTCCGGAGGCCAGAGGCCGCCATCAGCCCCCCCCCCCCTCCAAGGATTCCCCAAGAGGGCCTAATATGCCCAAGCGGCGCCCAAACCAATCCCCAAGCTCCCCCGGGTCTCGGCGGGAACCCAAAGTGTGAGACGTCCGTTGCGGGGCCGCCCTGGGATCTTTTGGGCGCGGGCCGCCAGGGGCCCGAGAAGGCCAGGGCGCTGGCATTTTTCTAGAGCCAAAAGGGAAAATGATTCTCGCCCAATGAATCTCATCTCGCGCGCTCCCCCTAGTAGCCTTTGGCGGCCAAGGGTCCTCGAAAACTCCTTGGTGAGGATGCTAAAGGAAGGTGGTGAAGTGTTGAAATTACACGTCGGTCGGAATAGATGGGTTGACACATGAAGTACGAAGGCGTTGAAGTAGATTGGGCTTCCGCCCGTCCCTGAAGAGGAGGGAAGAAGGAAAACCACTCGGTCATTGAAATAGGAAGGCGCTTGCAGTAAATTCGGATCCGGAAATTCAAAAATACCTACTTTCAACGACGGACGGGTAATTATCCAGCCCGCACGTACATCAGAAAGCCCTGGCAATCGAGGGGGAGGACGAGGATCGAGCAGGGGAAATCACGAGGGCCGAGAGGAAAGCAGGAGGAGGAGGTGGGAGGAATGGGGGAGGGAGAAGAAGAATTTTCGAGACCGAGGAGGAGGATCAGGTGGATGAACAAGTGGGACAGCACAAGGGGGGAATCAGCTCACATATCTTGTTTCTCCGACCGGAAGAGGAATGGGACCAGCAGCAGGAGGAGCAGCCGCAGCAGGAGAAGCAGCAGCAGCAGCAGCAGCAGCAGCAGCAGCAGCAGGAGAAGGATACAGGGGCAGGAGGAGGAGGAAGTGGGCAACATCCGCGGCATCTTACTGCCATCAGTCGTCCAGTCCACAGCAGCAGGAGGAGGAGGAGGAGGAGGAGGAGGAACAGGAGGAGGAGGATGAAGAATAACAATAGGAGAAAGAGCAGCAGCAGCAGCAGCAGCAGCAGCAGCAGCAGCAGCAGCAGCAGGAGGATCGCCCTCAGGAGGCGAGCGGGCGCCCCGCCGTCCTTTGGGGCGCCTGGGTCGGCCGCCTCGGCCAGCTCCGCCGCGACGTCGAGCGCCTGCGGCGAGTGCCGGCGGCGCGCGCGCGGCGGTGGCGCTCGCCGCAGTCGCTGCGGAATTTCGCGTCCCCCTCGTCTTCATTCGTCCTCCTCGTCCTTCATTCTCGTCCTCCTCGTCCCAGCTCCTCCTCTTCGTCCCAGCTCCTCCTCCTCCTCCTGCCCCTCCTCCTCCTCCTCCTCCTCCTCCTCCTCCTCCTCCTCCTCCTCCTTAGTCCTCCTTCGAGCTTCGTGCTGCTGCTGCTGCTGTTGCTAGCTGGCACCCTCGATGGGCCTCCTCCTGGCAACCGCCAGGCGGGGGGCAAAGAGAAACCAAGAAGCGAGAGGGAAGACAGGAACGACCGAGCGACGAGGCGGAGCATGTCCAGCAAAACAGGGGATGTGGAGGGCAGCTGTCTGTGGCGGCTTGCGTGCTCGTGCGGGGGTGGCCCGCGTGGGCCCAAGCCCCTCCGGGGGGAGAGCTGAGACCCGCATCGGCGAGCCCCTACGCTCCTGACGCTCCCGACGCTCCTGGCGTTTCTGACGCTCCCGACGATTCTGACGCTCTCGACGCTCCACGACGCTCCCGACGATCCTGACGCTCCTCGACGGTCCAGACGCCCCTGACGCTCCCGACGCTCCAGACGTTCCTAACGCTCCCGACGCTCTTGACACTCCCGACGCTCCTGACGCTCCCGACGCTCCTGACCCCCTTCTGCGCTACTCGACGATCCTGACGCTCCTGACGTTTCTTCGGACGCTCCCGACGGTCCCGACACTCCAGACGCTCCCGACCCTCCCGACGCCCCTGATGATTCCGACGCTCCCGACGCTCCTGACGCTCCCGAAACACCCGACGCACTCAAAGCTCCTGACGCACCTCGACGCTCCCGATGCTCCCGATCCTCCTGACGCTCCCGACGATCCTCGACGCTCCCCACAATCCTGACGTTTCCGACGCTCCTGACGCTCCCGACGCTTGCGACGCTCCCGACGCTCCAAACGCTCCCGATGCCCCCTACGCTCCTCGACGCTCCCGACGCTCCCAACCTCCTGACGCTCCCGACAATCCTGACGCTCCTGCAGCTCGACTCCCCTGACGCTCCTGACGCTCCCGACGATCCTCACGCTCGTGACAATCCTGACGCTCCTGACGCTGCTGACGCGCACGACGCTCCTGATGGTCCCGACGCTCCTGACAGTCCCGACGCTCCTGACAGTCCCGACGCTCCTGATGTTCCCGACGCTCCTGACAGTCCCGACGCTTCTGACAGTCCCGACGCTCCCGACGCCCCTGATGATCCCGGCGCCCATGACGGTCCGAAATTCCTTACGCTCCCGACGCTCCTCGACGTTCCCGACGCTCCCGACGCTCCCGACGCTCCAGACGCTCCCGACGCTCCCGACGCTCCCGACGCTCCTGACGCTCCTGAAGCTCATGACGCTCCCGACGCTGCCGACACTCCCGACATTCCCGACGCTCCTGACGCTCCCACCGTTCCCGACGTTCACGACGCTCCAGACCCCCCTGACGCTCCTGATGTTCCCGACGATCCTGACACGCCCGACGCTTCTGACGCGCCTGACGCTCCCGACGATCCTCATGCTCATGACGACCCTGACGCTCCTGACGCTGCTGACGCTCCCGACGCTCCTGACGGTCCCGACGCCCCTGAAGCTTCCGACGCTCCCGACGCTCCTGACGCTCCTGACGCTCCCGACGCTCCCGACGCTCCCGACGCCCCCGACGCTCCTGACTCCCCTGGCGTTCCCAATGCACCTGACGCTCCTGACGCTGCTGACGGCCATGACGCTCCTGACGCTCCCGACGCTCCGGACGCTCCCGACGATCCTGACGCTTCCGATGCTCCTGACGCTGCTGACGCTCCCGACGCCCCTGACGCTCCCGACGCTCCCGACGCTCCTCGACGCTCCTGACGCTCCTCGACGCTCCCGACGCCCCTGACGCTCCCGACGCTCCTGACGCTCCCGACGCTCCCGACACGCCGCCGACGCTCCTGACGCTTAGACGCTCCTGCTCCTGACGTTCCCGACGCTCCCGACGTTCCTGACGCTCCCGACGCTCTCGACGCTCTCGGCGCTCTCGACGCTCCTGACGCTCCCGACGTTCCTCGACGCTCCCGACGCCCCTGACGTGACGCTCTCGACGCTCCTGACGCAACTAACGTTCCCGACGCCCCTGACGCTCCCGACGCTCCTGACGCTGCTGACGCTCCTGACGCTTCTGACGCGCTTGACGCTCCTGACGCTCCCGACGATCGGGCCGCCCCCAACGATCCTGACGCTCCTGACGCTCCCGACGCTCCTGGCGCTCCTGACGCTCCCGAAGCATCCAGCGCTCCTGACGCTCTGGAGCTTCAGCATATGGTTTCAACTCCCGGGACGTTGGGTGGTGCGAGAGCTCAAATGATGCATGTCGCATTCTGTACTGCTAGGACGTGGGGGGCCCATGAAAACCCCCAGAAGGCCAGCACAAACCAACTTCACATGAAGAGTTCGTTTCATTTGCGAGGCCCGGCTTTCCAGAATTCTGGAACCACGGATTCTTTTCTCGCCCAGTAGCTCCCAGACCACAGGATTCTAAACCACGTGCTTTCAGCTCACAGGTTGGGATGGGGCGAAAGAACATGAAGATATTATCATGACGTCCATGTGTCCCTGATCTGTGGTTGGCGTGTTGACCTCCGCGAACGAACGAACGAACGAAGCGCGCAGTTCCGCTGGAGCGGGACCCTTGAGGGTCGGCACGGGGGGGCCGGGGGGCCCGTACTCCGTAGTGCCGAAGATGCTCATAGCGAAGCCGTCGCATGTGCAATAAACTGCCCTTCGCAAATTGCAACCACCATCGGCACCCTGTGTCGTCGGATGCTGTTGTGTCGTCCACCAGCTTCTGCGATATAAAAAAGCAAACAATCTCATGGTGCCATCTGTTCCGTGGCCTGCTGCGTTTCCTCTGGGCAAGTCGCTTGTCATGTATGGGAAATTCCCACACGGCGGCACGTCGTGACCATCGGTCAGTATATTGATTCGCTACTCGGCAAGCCCACCGCAACTTCCTTTTGAAATAAACTGATGCCAATATTGGATCGCGGTTCGCTGGGCGTGGGCTTCGGCAGCGTGCGCTGCTCTCCGGATGAAGCCGACCCAAGATTCCGTAGCGCTGGCTGTCGTCATTGTTGTTGCTGCTGTCGTTCCCGTGGTTTTGGTTGTTGTTGTCGTCGGAACTGCTCTTGACCGCTGCGGCCTCTAGGCTGGTCAGCTCCGCCTGCTCGGACTTGCTAGCCTGCTGATTCGTCTGGTCGTCGTTCTCGGGTCGGCCTTTCGCGCGCCTCCTGCTGGTGCCAACAATTAGTCTGATCATATTTCGTCGCGTCCGCGGCAATATAAAAAAAAACATGTCTTGAGTAAGAACCCACGAACTACATCCGCACATGACTGCAGGCGACACGGGCCCGTTGAAGAGCCTCGGGCGGCTTGCCAGAGGGTAGTGCTTGCACGTCAGTTCGTGCCTTAGCTGGTTGAATTTGCCCCACGCAGAAGCAATTATACCATTGAGCTCCTTCTCATGGAAGTTGTGAAACCTAAGGGCTCTGCCCAAATACTTCGTGCTCTGCGTGGCATCCAAAATCTCGACATGATCCTCGTCGATAGTGAACAACTGAATTCTTCTGCCCTGGCGGCGGGTGACATTCGTAAGTATGTTGGTCTTGTCTGGGTGTCATTCTAGGCCGCATTGGGACGACTCTCTCTCTCTCTCTATTTCCTTCTTCAGATCGCAGGGGAGACATTTCAGTTGGCGCAGATTCGGCACGCATAACAGAATGTCGTCTGCGAACCGGAGATAGGTAAGGATTGAGCGAACGGCAAAACCCAGTTGAATGCCAAAGTTCCTTTTGGACCACGACTGCTTCAGGCGTCGGAAGATATGTTCGAGGAGTGTGTTGAACAGAAGTGAGCTGAGTGGGTCGCCTTGCTTCACTCTTCTCTCAATGCTGAACTCAGTGCTTGTGGTGTCTGTGAGGACTCTGGCGGTTTGGCTGGACTTCTGCAGGAGCTCGATGTAGGACGAGGGTACTTGCTGTTCTTCCAGTGCTTGCCATAATGACTCGTGGCTGACGCAGTCAAATGCTTTCTTAAAGTCCACAGCTGCCGCCCAGAATGGTAGTTGCCATTCTTCTGACTGGTTGTGAAGCATGCTTGTGGAGAAAAGGTGGTCTTCGGGCTGAAGCCGTGCCGGAATCCTGCTTGGTCGACGCTTTGTTGGGCATCCAGAGATGAGCTCAACCAGCTGTTCACGAGTCGGGACATCACCTTGTGCAGCAGAGGAATGATAGCAATGGGTCTGTAATTCTGTGGTGACTTGGGTTCTCCAGACTTGAAGATCACGCTTATGGTAGTACGTCTCCATTGTTTTGGCGGTACAAAATATGGTTGTATGACGTAGTTGAATAAACGTTGAAAGTCCTGCTCTACGCACGTCCCGCCAGCCTTCAGCATTTCCGCTGTAATACTGGCCGTGTCTTTGCATTTGACATTTTTCAGTTGGTTGATGGCTTGGTGCACCTCTTCTTGTGTGAAGGGAGGTATGGGGGCGTGGGCCGTCGCGGTGTCAGAGAGCCTGTCGAATGCGTCCGTGTCGCGTGTCGCACGCTCGTTGTGAATAGCGAGGCGTCGGTAAAGCTGCTCGTAGAACGTTGCGAAGATGTCGGCAATGCTTTGTCGATCGGTCACATCGTTGCCATCGCACCCCGTCATAGCCGGAATCATGTCTTTGTGCTTGGTCGTATTGATGCTCGCTAGATTTTTGAGGCCCCTGAAGCTGCAGGTGCTGTCCTTGATCTTATCTTGCCGTCGAGACCGTTTCAACGATCGTAGCTCTTTGTATATGTGTTTGCTAATCGTCTTGCGGGCCACGGTGTCCTCTTGTGGCGTATTTCGTCATTGAGCTGTGAGGTCACGAAGTTTTCCGCGAACCTCCCCAAACCACTCCCGTCTTAACTACAAGCGGAATCCAAAGCTCAAGTTCAAGCAGCCAAACAGCAGCGTAAACTAAACCAAATGCAGCGTAAAAATATACACGGCAAGAAAGCTTGCAATGTTGAACAAATGTGGTTCTGTATATGGTTGTCGGCGCCGTGCGTTTCACATCCTGCCATAACCCCTCGAACCTACTCCCAACTAACATACGGAAGACTAAGCGCAAGCTCGAGCTGCCAAACTGCAATGCAACAACAACTTCGGCGCAAACATCAAACAGTACAGCAAAACGCTACAATACACAAGAAACGTTGTTTCTGGTCATGGTCGTCAGCGCCATGCGGTTCACACGCTGCTTGAACCCCTCCAAACCACGCCAGCCTCACACGCGCAATCCGAAATCAAGCTGTTCTTTGCAAACTTGCACCACAAAACGAACTGGAGTGAATCCTAAGCTCAATCTTAAGCCTAAATTTTAGTCTCGAGCTGAAAGTCTGCTTTGTAATGCTTGGCGTCCCGCCGTGCGCGACACGGTGAAGAACTTGATGTTCGAATGTCATGCTCGCATGCGACAACAGTCGGGAATATCAAACATATCCGAGAACCCTCAGAGACATCCGATAGGCTTCGAAGTCCTCCGATAAGATCCGAAGGCGTCGGGCGAACGCCTGCAGCCACCGCAGCCCGCGGCTGCAGGCGCTGACCAGCGCGCTGGTGGTGGCGGGGTCGGGCCGCACGCGCCAGGCGCGCAAGCTGCCCAACAGCTCCAGCGCAGCTGCTGGCTGGCCGGCCTTGTCGCACGCGCTGGCGCAAGCGCCGTACGTCACGGCGTCGGGAGGGGGGCCGTGGCCGCGCATCTGAGCCAGGAGCGCCAGGGCATGGGGCCACTGGCGGCCCCGGCCGCAGGCGGTGATCGCGGCGTTGCAGACGATGGTGTTGGGCTGCGGCAGGCTGCCCTGCCCCTCCCACCCCATTGGTGGGGGGGGACTGGACAGCGAGAAACAAGGGCTCCCAACTTCGCGCTTCGCGCTCCGCGAAGCGCGAATAACTTTGCGCTCTCGCGCCGCCCCCCGAAAGAGGGAAAAGGAAGACGAGGAGGTGGGGGAGAAGGAACGAGGACCGCGAAGAGCGAATAACTTCGCGCCCTCGTGGGAGCCCTTGGGGAAACGAGCGAAGACGAGGCAAGCAGGGAAAGGGTCAAGTGGCCATGGGCGCAAGAAGAGCCGTGAGAAGGGGTAATCAGGCGGCGGGCCCAGGGGGAGGCGAGAGGGTGCAGGCCTTCTCAAAGGCAGCGGGGCTTCGCAGAAGCCCCCGCCGCCTTCTGAGAAGCTGTACCTGTCTTCGGAGAAGGCTTGGACAGCTTCTCAGAAGGCCAGGGTAGGCTCGCTGACTCTGCACTTCCCCCCTGACTCGCTGCCGAAGGGGGTGGAGGAGTCGACACAGATGTACAGTGTGGGCGCGGCCGCGAGAAACCCTCTCAAAAAACCCAACCCTGAAAACACGGGCGCGAGGTGCACCTGAGGGGAAGCCCGGAGCACCCTGAACGCAGCCGCTCCTTCCCCGGCTGAGGGAAGCCACCGCGCGGCGTGCGGAGCGAAGAAACCCAGAATTCCCTGACGAAAAGCAAATGGTTTCTTGATGCGCGCCCCCACTGTAGAACGCAACCAGAACTGGGCACGATGTGCCATCGTCGGCGCTGCCTGCGCCGAGAGCCCCACCGATGCGCCCCCCCTTGGGTTGCATCCTCAGAGGCCCTTGCCTGTCACATCGCGTCGCTACTCGCGACGAATCCGTGTCGAACCCATGTCAGATACACGAACCCACGTCGAATCCGCACCGAACCCGCGTCGGACACGAGAAAATATCGCCATCTGCAGCACACGCAAGGCCCCTCGAACTTCCCACGCACCTCGGACGACATGGATGTCATGCTGCGATCGGGGCAGGATGCGTTCCAGTCATTCCGGAGTAAGTAGTGGCCATCGCTTCTCCAGTCCCTGTGGAACAGGCACCCTAGGATATCCTGAAACTCTTGGAACCCTAATGGGGACCCTAACAGGAACCCCTGTGGAACAGGAACCCTACTGAGAATCCTGGGATATCCTGGAACTCTTGGAACCCCAGAAGGGACCCAAATAGGACCCCCCGTGGAACAGGAACCCTAATAGGAACCCCTGTAAAAACAGGAACCCTCACAGGAACCCTGGGATGTCCTGGACCTCTTGGAGCGCATCGTCCTCAGGAACCGTTGGCTCCTCGATCGGCGGGCACGCGGGCAGCCCTTCAGGACGGAGAGGGGATGGGAGGCAGGCGCCGCGCTCTGGGCGGTGCGCACAGGATCAATTTGCGGAATTTCGGGGCCGCGGTCCGCCGAAGGAGGAGGAGGAGGAGGAGGAGGAGGAGGAGGAGGAGGAGCAGGAGCAGGAGCAGCAGGAGGAGCAGGAGCAGGAGGAGCAGGAGGAGGAGGAGGAGGAGGCTAGGGGGATGTACATGTTTAACTCCAGGCATTGCAGCGCTACTCCTTGCTTTACGGCCGCCTGCGCTCACCTTTGCGCTAGGACGACGCCACGAGGCGGGCCGCCTACTGTTGCACGTGTATCTCGTTCCCGCTCCTTTCGGTTCGTCCTCATATTTGATTACTTGACTATAAGGTCATCGTTCGAAAGTTCCCTATCTTTTCATAACGCCTGGCTGGCACAGACTCTGAGCCATTGGGGGTCCTCTTCTTTTCCTGTTCTGTTTTGCCTGTCCCGTTCGGCTGCGCCAACCAGGTCTAATTTGTTTTTGGCTCCGCTAATTCGGCGTTTTCTTTTTACCTAACAGCGAAGACTGATAGGTTTCTAGTGGGGTCAAAAGAAAAGCATCATGACTCCCAAGGGGGGTCTGGGCGGGATCCGGACGGGATCCAGGGACACCTTTTTTAGCCAACAGTAACGCACTTCGTGGTCTTCGAGTTCCCAGAACTCCATTCCTGGGCATGATTTTGAATGCCCGGAGCCAACTGTAGGCCACTTCGTGTTCTTCGAGTTCCCAGAACTCCATTCCTGGGCATGATTTTGAATGCCTGGAGCCAACTGTAGGCCACTTCGTGTTCTTCGAGTTCCCAGAACTCCATTCCTGGGCATGATTTTGAATGCCCGGAGCCAACTGTAGGCCACTTCGTGGTCTTCGAGTTCCCAGAACTCCATTCCTGGGCATGATTTTGAATGCCCGGAGCCAACTGTAGGCCACTTCGTGTTCTTCGAGTTCCCAGAACTCCATTCCCGAGCCACATTTTGAATGCTGAGGCAGGCTGATGCTGAGGCTGAGGCAGGCTGAGGCTGAGGCAGCTGAGGCTGAGGCCGAGGCTGAAGGCAGACTGAGGCTGAGGCTGAAGCAGGCTGAGGCTGAGGCTGAGGCAGGCTGAGGCTGAGGCTGAGGCAGGCTGAGGCTGAGGCTGAGGCTGAGGCTGATGCAGGCTGAGGCTGAGGCAGGCTGAGGCTGAGGCCGAGGCTGAAGGCAGACTGAGGCTGAGGCTGAAGCAGGCTGAGGCTGAGGCTGAGGCAGGCTGAGGCTGAGGCTGAGGCAGGCTGATGCTGAGGCAGGCTGAGGCTGAGGCTGAGGCTGATGCAGGCTGAGGCTGAGGCAGGCTGAGGCCGAGGCTGAAGGCAGACTGAGGCTGAGGCTGAAGCAGGCTGAGGCTGAGGCTGAGGCAGGCTGAGGCTGAGGCTGAGGCAGGCTGAGGCTGAGGCAGGCTGAGGCTGAGGCTGAGGCTGATGCAGGCTGAGGCTGAGGCAGGCTGAGGCTGAGGCCGAGGCTGAAGGCAGACTGAGGCTGAGGCTGAAGCAGGCTGAGGCTGAGGCTGAGGCTGAGGGCTGAGGCTGAGGCTGAGGCAGGCTGATGCTGAGGCAGGCTGAGGCTGAGGCTGAGGCTGAGGCTGAGGCTGAGGCTGATGCAATTTGAGGCTGAGGCAGGCTGAGGCTGAGGCCGAGGCCGACAGCAGACTGAGGCTGAGGCTGAAGCAGGCTGAGGCTGAGGCTGAGGCAGGCTGAGGCTGAGGCTGAGGCAGGCTGATGCTGAGGCAGAGGCAGAGGCTGAGCTGAGGCAGGCTGAGGCTGAGGCAGGCTGAAGCAGGCTGAGGCTGAGGCTGAGGCAGAGGCAGGCTGAGGCTGAGGCTGAGGCAGGCTGATGCTGAGGCAGGCTGAGGCTGAGGCTGAGGCTGATGCAGGCTGAGGCTGAGGCAGGCTGAGGCTGAGGCCGAGGCTGAAGGCAGACTGAGGCTGAGGCTGAAGCAGGCTGAGGCTGAGGCAGAGGCTGGGCTGAGGCTGAGGCAGGCTGATGCTGAGGCAGGCTGAGGCTGAGGCTGAGGCTGATGCAGGCTGAGGCTGAGGCGGCTGAGGAGGCCGAGGCTGATGAGGCTGAGGCTGAGGCTGAGGCTGAGCTGAGGCTGAGGCTGAGGCTGAGGCTGAGGCTGAGGCTGAGGCTGAGGCAGGCTGAGGCTGAGGCAGGCTGAGGCTGAGGCCGAGGCTGAAGGCAGACTGAGGCTGAGGCTGGAGCAGGCTGAGGCTGAGGCAGAGGCAGGCTGAGGCTGAGGCAGGCTGATGCTGAGGCAGGCTGAGGCTGAGGCTGAGGCTGATGCAGGCTGAGGCTGAGGCAGGCTGAGGCTGAGGCCGAGGCCGACAGCAGACTGAGGCTGAGGCTGAAGCAGGCTGAGGCTGAGGCAGAGGCAGGCTGAGGCTGAGGCTGTGTCTGCGACTGCCGTTGCCACTGCGACTGTCATCGCGAATGCGACTACGACTTCGAGAACAGCAGAATTCTACAACTGGATTCTCATCTGAATCTTAAAGGGAATGCTTCCAAATATGCTCCTACACATCGCTGTTAGGTTGCTTTGCCGGGATAATTCATACATGTTCACTAACGCTCCAGGTATCGGCCTCAAGCTCGCGCAACGTCAATGAGGAGAAGGATGAGGAGGACGAAGAGAAGGCATGCGCTACAGTCGCCGAACGTATCTCGGTGATCACCCCCCTCTTGGCTCCTCTGTCGGCGGAGAGCCCAGCGGGCCTTCTCAAAGGCTCGGGAGGCTCCGAAGACGCAGAACGCTTCTCGGGGGGCGCCAGGGCTTCTGAGAAGCACCACCGCCCTACTGCCACTCACCCGGCCTTCCTGTTCCTTCCCCCCATCACCTTCCTCCCTCCCCTCCCCCATCCCTCGTCCCCACCTTCTTAGGTGGCGACATCCCCGCCGCCCACCAAGTCGCCTGAATCGTTAATAGGCGGGGGTAGTGTTCGGATTTCGTCGCCGACTCATCCCCCCACCTCCTCTCAATTCCCCACTGGGCTTGCCGCCGAGCTCTCCCCCACCAAAGGGTGCAGCGCGCCACGCCACCCGCCCTCGCGCCGCCCCACTGGAGAGGGGCAGCTCCCCAACCCAAGCCGCGACGCGCGAAGCGCGATTAGCTTCGCGCCCCTGGGAATGACCTGGTGGAACGCATCACTACCATGACCTCCTGCTCCAACCCGTGTGGAATAGGGGATCCAGGAACCTAGGACATCCTGGAACGCGTGGAACGCACTATTATCATGACCGGCCCTCCCCCAGGAAGTGCAGCGCCTGCCTCCCTTGAGCACTCCGCCCCCCAACCAAGGGGTCCTGCTCCTCTACGCCCCCCCACACCAGGAGGTGCAGCGCCTGCCTCCACTGCCTGCGCTCCCCGAGCGCCACGACCGCCGCCGTGTGGCGCCGCATGGCCGCCGCCGCGCGGCGGGCCACGGGCCCCCGGCGCCGCCATGCGGCTCAGAGGGTGGGGCCAGACGAAAGGTTCCTGTCGGGTGTTGCTCGAAGTGCCCCTGGCGCAAGGTACCCCCAGGATCTCCAAGGAGGCCCCCACGGCCTCCAGAGTTCCCATCACGAAGCCCACAGGGCCCCAGGGGTTCCAAAATGGAGCGAAAAGCTGGGGGCACCTTGGCCCAACGGCACCTTTGGCAACCCCCGATCCTGGGCCGTGCGGCCCTGGGGGCGAAGACTCCGGGTTCTCGCGCGACCCAGGTGGGGGGGGACCCCGGGCGCGTGGCCGCGCTCGGCCCAGGGGGTTGGGACTCTGGGCGCCCGTCCCTGGGACGAAAGCTCGGGGCGGGGGTTCTAGCAAAAGGGGGGTCGGCTGAGCATCGTTTAACCCATCCCGATCCCCGCTGGCGTGGCCTTGGCCCCAGTGGCCACATAACCCCCTCAGATGGGGAAATGTAGGCCGTGCCATTCGGGTTTCGGGGGGCCTGTCCCCAACTGGGGTGTTGGACAGGAAGGGGGGTAGCAAAGGGAGGAGAGAACGCGTTTCACGGGCGCTCGCCTTGGGAACATTCGGCGGCGCGTTTCGAACCGGGGGGTGGCCCCCCCCCAACACTCGGCGCCGTCGATCAAAACCAAGGGGACCCCTCTCTCCCCCAAACCCCCCCCTCCCGAACGCCCCCCCACACCCCGGCGCCGGCGCCAGCGCTGGCCGCCAGCAGCGCCGACGGCGGGGACGCAGCAACGATGTCCAGAGGCAGCCCAAGGAGGGGGGGGAAAGTTTGAACCCCCCCCCTTCCCACCCCCCCCGGGCGCCAGGGGGGGAGGGGTTCAACCCCCCCCCCTAGCAGCGCTGGCGCCGGCGACGGCGGGGACGCAGCCACGATTACCACCACTACCACCACCGCGACCACTACCACCACCACCACCACCACCGCCTCAACCCACCACCACCACCACCACCACCAACCCACCACACAACAACCACCACCACAAACCACCACCACACCACCACAACCACCACAAGTCACCATCACAGCCACCACCACCACAAAAACCCACCACTACCACCACAATCTACCACACTACCACCACCACCACCGCCACACCCACCACCACTACTAGCAGCACAACCCACCGCCACCACCACAAACCACCACACCACCACCACCACCGCCACCACCACCACTACCAGCACCACCTCCACAAACCACCGCCACCACCACAACCCACCACCCCCACCACCACCACCACCACAAACCACCACCACACCACCACCAAACCACCACCACCACCACCACCACCACCAACACAACCCACCACCACCACCACCACCACCACCACCACCACCACCACAAACCACCACCACAACACCACCAAACCACCACCACCACCACCACCACCCATCACCACAACCACCACCACCACAGCAAACCACACACCACCACCACCACAACCACCACCACCGCCACCACCACAACCCACCACCAACACCACCACCACCACCACCACCACCACCACCACCACCACCACCACCACCACCACCACCACCACCACCGTCGTCCTCGTCGACGCTCCCCGCCGCCGCCGCCCGCCGCCGCAGGCGCTGGCCCACAAAAGGAAGTCGTCGTCCCCGCCGCTTCCGCCAGCCGCCGCCGACGCAAGCGCCGGCCCGAGGAGAGGGGAAGCAGGAGAAGAAGGGAGAGGGGGGGGTTCGAACCCCCCCCTCCCTCCGTCACGGGAGGCGGGGGGGGAGTCCGGTTTCAGACCCCCCCCCCTCCAAGCGACCACAGAACGCGCTCTTTCAAAGGGAGGCCAGCGAATCCCAGGTCGCCTAACTCCGCGCACCGCTCCCCGCGATGCACGGGTATCGTCGCGCCCTCGCGCCCTCGCGTCGCCTCTCCTGGAGAGGGGCGCCTCTCCAGCCCGGACCGCGATGCGCGAAGCGCGGCTATTTTCGCGCCGCCTCGGGTGACATTGGGGGGGGAGGGGGGCGACGGGATCCATACATCTCTGCTGCCCCTGGCCAGGCCCATGCTGGGTCCAGGAGCGGTGTGTACGCCCTCCTGGCTTGGCCAGGGAGGCACATCCACCGCTCCTGGACCCAGGATCGGCCAGGAGCAGCGGATCTGTTTTGCTCTCGTCGCCCGTTGAGCAGCGGGGGGTCCACGAATCAGCTCACGCGGCTGATTTTTCCACCGCCTCCAGGCGCTGGAGGCGCCAATGTATCGAGGAAAGCGCCCGGCGGCGGAGCCGAAACCAGCAGCAGGGAGCACTCTCCCCTCTCCCTAAGGCCGTCCACGGCGACAGCAAGCCGAGAACCGACCGAACCGACAGCGAAACCGAAGTCGACCGACATCGACAGGCCGCAAGCAGCCTAGAAGTGCGCAGCGATGCGGCAACGACACAATAACCGACCAAACCGAACCGACGGAACGTAACCGACTGCGACGCAGCCGAACCGACCGAATCGCGAACACCCTGACCTCAGAGGATCTTCAAAAAAACGCAAATGATCGGGGGATGAGGACCAATGGTGACGATGCTGATGATGGTGATGATGATGATGATGATGATGATGATGATGATGATGGAACATATAATGATAATGGTGATGACAAGTTTGATGGTGCTTGTGCTGATGCTGATGCTGCTGCTGCTGATGATGCTGCTGCTGCAGATTATGATGATTATGATGATGATGTTGCTGCTGATGATGATAATGATGATGATGATGATAATGATGATGATTACTATTATGACATTATGATGATGATGATGATGATGATGATGATGATGCTGCTGCTGCTGATGCTGATGATAATGATGACGACGAGGAGGAGGCCGATGATGATGATGATGATGAGGAGGAGGAGGAGGAGAAGAAGGAGGAGAAGGAGGAGGGGAAGGGCGAGGAGGGGAAGGGCGAGTTTCAGTGCCAGCCGAGAGCTCAGGGAGGGATCCCCGTTAGCATTAAAGACCATGTAAAGTTAGATCCCCCCCTTTCGTCCGACCCGAGAAGGGGAGCGGGACTCCCCAAACGGAGGGCGGGCACGGGCGCGCGGGGGCTGGGGCGGCACAAAGGCATCGAAACGCGCGCCGCGCCCCGCTGGAGCCAGAGAGGAGCCGTTGGTGCTGCCGCCACCGTCGTAACCGCAGCCGTGGTCGCAGTCGTCACCAACATACCGCTACTGCTACTGCCCCTGCGCCTCCCGAGCATCATCGCCGCCTTGGACGTGGTGTTCCACGCCGTCATTATCACTCTTTGTGGCCGCATAACACACACACACACACATACACACTCACTCACTCACTCACTCACTCACTCACTCACTCACTCACTCACACACACGTTTCGCGCGGTACCTGATTTCCTTGGTCTCATGGGCGATTTTTTCAGTGATACCTCTGCAAGTGGCTGTTCAACTCTCGCTTTCGGCCTTGTGCTAGGGATGCTCATACGGCTGAGTCTGAAGCTGGGGCTGAGGATTGATTGGAGCCGAGGCCGAGGTGCGCCACGACCTGGTGCTGGGGCTGGGGCCGAGGGTGAGCTTGAAGCCTGAAGTCGAATTCTGAGGACATCCAATGCGGCGCGGCGGCTCTGGGAATGATATTATGGCTCCCCTTCTCTCCATCTTCCATCCGCCCTCCCCTCTTTTAAATCTCCCAGGTACTACGAACGACCGCTACGGTCGGCTGCGCTAGAGGCAGCTCAGTCGACTGCACAGCTGGTGCTGTCTTCCTGCTTTACTTCAACCTGAGTGCCCCAACAGAGTTGTTATCTCATTACTCATATGCTCGTTGCGTGCCAGCCTCTGCTGACAGGCTCGCTGCATACTCAGCGTCGAGATCCAAAAGCAGCTCCTCTTCCCCCCTCTTCCTCACCTTATTCCATCCTCAGTCCTCACTCTTTCGTCCTCCTCCTCCTCCACCCTCACTTCCTCCCTCCCGCTCTCCCCTCTTTTCTTCCCCTGGACCCCTCCCATGCAACTACTCGAATCCAAAGACCCCACTTCCGTATAAGAGCGATGCGGGATCGGTCTGGAAGCACTTCTCGGTCCATCCCCGCGCGGTTGATGCGGATGGCCATGGATGGGCATGCGCGGCTGGGTCACGTCGGGTCGCGATGACGCCGGCGTTGGTTTCTTAGCCCACACAACTTCGCACATCGCGCCCCGCGATGCGCGGCCATATTTGCGCCCTCGCGCCCTCGTGGTTGCGGGTGACCCAATAACGCGCAGATCGCTCGATATCGGCGGACTCTGGGGCACTGGCGGCGGTCAGCCTTAAACGTCCGCGTTGGGGCCACAACCGCGTCGACAAAGCGCGAAGTGGAAACCTGTCGCATTTCTAACACGCGGCGTGCCAACCTTCGACGATGTGATGAATAGAATGTTTTCCAACTTCGCTATGAAGTGGCCATGCAGGACTTTGCGAAACCTGCAAGTGGCCTCGCTCGCTGAGCGCTCTGGGCCCAAACGGCTACGAATGCACATATATCACAGCTCAAGGGAACCAGATTGTTACGACAGATTTGTACAATTTGCTCCCAGATGGGCTCTTGCTGGCAAAAGCTAAGCTATGAAACCGCCACCTACCCCAACCTACCAACCGTTCAGTCGCTTATTGAAACACGTTCAGACCCGTATTGGCCTCGGACCTGTTGACGTCTACAAGACGGTGCAAGAGATGTCTGGAACTGAATTTAAACGAAAACCGCACTCTCACCCCCGCATCCCTGCAGAGATTCACCACCCTTTGGAACCGGGCGAATTCCCATGCGCGGTGGTAAGGGAGGACTAAACAAGACTGCACCTGGTCGCCCGGGGAACGTACTGCCGCGAAAAGGACTGCACCGTCTTCCGCGCAATGCGAGAGTTGCTGCGCAGTTCTGTAAAACGCCTGACCATGCTTTTAGGCCACGCTGCATGCACGCGCGTGGGATGAGCACTGGAACAGAGGAG